AGAGCGTTTCTAGCATGTAGCCTGCGGTAAACTGCTGTGACTTTAGAAAGCAAGGAAAAAAAAAAAGGTACAAGTTTCCCATATTTCCTGTGCTGCACTCAGGAAATTTATTTTATTCATGATCTGCAACAGATAATCAAGATTAAATAGATTGTGTCATGGCTTGCACGGCTATTGCAATGGAAGGGCAAAGCCAAAGCTGATTCGCAGTGGTTTTTAGTTCACACACTGATACTCAGATAGAGGGCATGCACTGCAGTCATGGCTTCAAAAAAAGAAAAGAAAAAGAAGACCTTGGCCATAATTTTATGTTTCTCATTTTCATTCCCATTTTCCATCAGAAATGCACAAGGACAAACAAGGCGAGTTTAGATCTCTGGGGAAGCTGAAAGCATGACCCTCACTGCTACAGTCGCTTCTGTACCCTCCCTATTTTTGCTTGTTCCCTTCATGCTGTCCAAAACACCACCCCATATAAACGCTAATTCCTGAGCTGACAGACTGTCATGACACGATGAGCCTGGTGAAATAGTACAAGCAGGGAAAAAAAGCAAACCAAACAACCTCAAATCAGATACGAATTAACCCTTTCAAGCGAAGCACATCTCAAAATTCTTACTTTCATGCTACCAATATGCATTTTTTAAACTGTTAAAGAGATACTCAAGCGTTTACCAGTAAAGACTTTGAAACCATCTTTAGCAGGCAGTGGAATGACATGGAAGGGTCCAATTCCACCAGCCAACAATACACCAAAATACCCCAAGAGGCACTTGAATCTGAGCATCTCTATCAGTGCTTCGGCACTGATGAGTAACAGCCATCCCAGTGATAATTCACCCTTATAATTTACCTCGTACAGATAATATGGAAAAAAATACTCTAGAAAATACTAATATTTTGTAGCTTTTCACTTTCAAAGACACTTTAGTAGTTAATGGAAACAAATACTGTGCTCTTTCAAATATTGGTTACTCAATTTAGAAAGCATCAGGAATGTCACCACACCAGTGTATTCTGGCCTGACCAGTTTCACTGTTTTGGAGATATTAGGAAGACAACCCACTACTAATGCTTTCCAGCTCTTCCCAGAACAAAGAGGAATTACAACTGACCTTTGCATCAGAGAGCCAGCAGGAAAAAGGTTCTTTGCGTTATAAGTTCTGCCTTGAAAGACATGGTTTTAATCTTATAGAGAGGCAGGTTTTAAACTGGAAACCCTGACAGATCGTTAACTGCACCAATAATAAATAACATCAGTGTGATTTATCTTGAAAGAAATTGCCTTGTTTTCTTCTCCAGTTTCCAGCTTAAAACCTTTCATTGTGGATGCTGTTGTCAATCTTATCTAGTGACCCATTTACCCAAGCACAGAATTACAGAACAGAATTTTATGACAAACACAGAGCAGGCTTTGACACTAATAATTCTCACTCAAGATTCTGTGGACTTGGCTTGTTTTTAGGACTTGCTGCGAAAGGCCACCTTTCTTCCATGTAGAAAGTCAACAAGTTACCTCAGACAGGTTTTGCAAATGAATTTGTCACAGCAATTAAGGGAAGGAAGCTATATAAACATGATAAAAGGTGACTTAACATTGCCATGCACCGTTACATTAAAGAATGAGAAAGAGACCTTTAACATATTAGTCTGAACGCTTAGGAAATCAAAAATACTGTCCGGATAGCTACATTCTTTGACTTTCAATGAATCAGTGCTGTCTGCAGTGTGCACTCAACCTTTGAGACAGGGAGAGGGAAATTCTCAAAACAAAGTAACTTCCAGTTACCTAATGGAAACTTGAAGGGCTCTATCTCCCAGCATGGGTATGCTCTGATACTAACACAGAACCAAGCAGCCCCACAGGGAGCTCCTCCCCCAGTGCCCCAACAAGTTTGGAAAATGGCAAGAACCTGAAATCCATTGATAAGATCTGTGGTGAAGCTTCTGTGGTTAAAGTACATGGTCCATTCAACTTGTACAGATTCTTCTAGTAATGATAGTGGAAGGGAGCAGATCACACATGCAAGACAGACACTGCGCACTAAAGCACATTGGAAAAACTGAGGCACTACTGAGGATAAAAGTTGGGATAACTGGCAATCTAAAGGCATAAGGGTCACAAAATCCACATAATTTTGAAAGCTGGCCACTCAGTTATGCTTGGATAATACTGTACAGGATGGGGAAGAGAATCCTCCTTGTTGTGGGTTTGGGGTTTTTTTGATTATTGGGTTGGTGGAATCTGGGTGTCATGGGGCTTTTTGGGGGGTTGGGGTGTTTTTGTGTGTGGGGAGGTTGGTTGGTTGTGTTTTTTTAAACATAAATGCTACACTTCCTGAGCTTCCCCCATCCCTTGCTGGTATTGCTAGTAGTTTGGACTGGGTTTGTTTTGTTCCAGTGGGTTGCAGTAGAATAAGACTCTTCCACTGCACTGGCACAGCTTTACTTAGTGATTTCACTGTAAGATCCCACATTGTCTGTGTGACTACAGAACAGCAGTTTCCAATGCAGCAGTGAGAACATTCGAGTAACAGCTCTACACTTTCAGATACCAAATTTTCTTAAGATATAAAAGTATCTATGAACATACAGCTTTCCTAAACACATTTGTTGGCATTGAGTTAATAGAAAGGCATCCTAAATGTGCAATTATTACATACAATATCCTATGCCCACATAATTTTGTATAGTCCATCATCCCTGCTCAGCATCCCTGTTTGCAGCTCTTAAAATCTAGTTTTTAATAACATGAGTTCAGAAAGTAGCATTTGCCAGCAGATATTAGCATACTCAAGTCCTCTTGAATTCACAGGACTTTTATCACCATCTTGTTATTTATAAATGTTACTGTCATTCATCACTGCAAATCATCAGCTGTACCTGTGGCTGAAGAAAATGCTAACTCAGAAGGCAGAGATGAGAGCAAATGCATAGTCAAGAGGTAATGATTTTTACTACCAAGAATGTTTTTGCTCTCAGACACCTATAATTAGACATATCCAGTATCTACAGTCATCTCAATCATTCAAAATACGATGGGCACTGCTAGGTGTGGGTAGGAATGGTGTAAATAACCCATATAAAGCAAAATTACAGGTAACACAAAGTAATTTTAGAATTAGGCTACAGAAATACATTTCTAGTATCTCTGAAAAACATATAAATAGATTCTGCAGAGCACGCTGACAGCTTAAATAGTAAGATTTGGTGTGTGAGCAGCATGAAATCCCTGGGCATTCCCCAGGTTGTGGGATTGAGGGAACCACAGGACAGTTACTAGTAACTATTATCTTTTAGGAAAAAAGGGGAAAAAAAGATCAGTCTGAGATTTCAAGATTACATAGTGCTTTTAGCCATGCTCACCACAAAAAGGAACAGCAGGTGTGACCCATCCCCTCTGATAGCTTTATGAATCTAAAGCAGAAGCCACAGCTTATGGTAGTCACACATTTGGTGACCTACATACAGTTTATTTTCTGTATGAATTGTATGCATTACATTTGGTCAAGTAGCTGCGTTCCAGCTGGGTTTCACAGCACAATTAAGAATCAAATCCTGACATCATTTTTCAATACCAAAACAACAAACAACCACCTCAAATTAACAAACTCTTCTGGAATTATCAGAATTTTAAAGAGTATATCTGCAGCTGAAAAAAAAACAAACAAATAAACCAAAAACCCAAACAAACCAACCCAAAACTTTAAAGCAACTTCTAATACTCAGAAGGAAAGATATTCTATAAGTTCAGGATTAAAACAGGAACACCGGCAACACTTGCTGGATGTTGACTGATTTACAGAAACAAGCCTCTAAATGTAAACAGCCAACAAGATGCTGCTTTAGGTAGAATGTAAAAATAAAGTGAATGCCACCTATTGCCTATCTACAGCTTACAACACTTGATCTAAAACTTTTAAGCTCTGAATGCAACACACAATGAGAGCAGAAAATTAAGCAGTGGGTGGACAGAATCTTTTCTGCCTACCCTGAATAACAACCACAACTGCTTCAGCTGTTAGAGACTATCCCTTGGGCACTCCATTAGAAAGCACATAGCAAAATGTAGGCTCAGAGAGGCCAATGTTACTGAGAGGCTGCAGGAACTTCACTCTGTTTCCACAAGGAAAATTGCTCTCTGCACAAAACAGCGTGGAAAGATCTCCTCACATGAGCCAACGGCATTGAGGAAAAGCGAACAGATGGCAGAACGCTACGAGTTCACCTTAAGTATCAACAGCAGCGTTCTTGTCTCTATGGTTTAATGAGTCAAGCTTGACTTAAAGCAACCTGAGATAGCTCAAGACCCACAAAGTTCATGGACGTGCAACACTAAGGAGATCAGCAGTAATCACCACACAGACAATCAAAGCAGCACAGCCACTCCCAGCTGATCCCCTTACACCTTCCTGGAACCCAAATACAGGTGCAAAGTAAAGTACACAGTAATTAACCCACTACCTCTAAAGCCATCCCTACTTATGTAAGTTGTATTACAAACAGTTTACTTTTGATACGATTCTTATGCTCAGCTTTTGAGGTTTTTACCCACCCCTCAAATGCTACCATTGATCATTCCTTTTTAACTCATCTTTTACTCTGTTTGATTCCTCTCCTTCCATTTTCAAGACTTGTTACCTCCCCTTGAGTATCTTCCCTTAAGTATGTTCTCATTATCTCATTTTCTTTTTCATTCATTAGTCTGCTATTCTCTCTGCTCCATTTTAAGTGCTCTCATTAAGTACTTTAAAGACCAATTTCAAAAGCCAGTTCCCAAATCACAATATACACGTCAAAGCAGTCCTGCTTTATTCACCATCATCAAATACTAATTCAGACTTGCGATTATTCACGGAAAAGCACAGAATATTGTTTCAAACATCTCTTTAAACAGAAATAATGACCCCTTTTCCCTGGAAACAGGGGCTTGTTATTTCCTTAGCAGTAAATCCTCCCTATTTTCCTATTTAAAGTGGAACCAGGAAAGTCAGGCCTACCTCTGTGAGCTGCCCCAAGGCATAGAGGGTGAGTTGCTTCGGGTCTGTGTAGGGAATTTCTCCAAGCTCCAGATAAGGCTTCCCAAGGGGAGTGAAGAGCCCCTTATCAAACTGCTTTAGCCTCCTATGGTAGTTTTCCCAGAACACTTGCTCTCTTGGAGGTTCACTGCTCTTGTAAATGGTCTTGCTTCTGGCCAAGACCTTCCCTTCCCTCTGATCAAAGCCAGGCAGGGCCTCAATGCGCACAAAGTCCTTCGGATTCAGCACGTTAGGCACAGCCAGCACCCTGACCCTGGTGTCCTTTGGTGGCTCTGATCCCACGGGTGCCTTGAGCCTGCTGCTGCTGCTCCTCCCTGTGTCTGCTGCCACGGGTACCTCAACTCCGCAGTTCTTAGGTACTGACATCCTTCCAGAACAGGAGCCTTGGTTGGTTTTAATGAAACAAAGGTATTAAAAACTCTTAGTTTCATGAAAACTAAGTCATGAAAACACACACCCACTGCCCAAACTCTGAGGCAAGTCTGTTTGAGTCAACTAAAGAGTAGCCCAGCAGAACTAACACTACACGAGGTCGCATTCCCCTCAAACAACAGCTATAAAACCTGAGGCACCTGCACACCTAAAACCCACCCAGCCTCCTGAAGAACACCCACAGCCGGAGCACCTCCCTCTGAAGGGCTCGGTGACAAACACAACTCCATTTATCCCTTACCAACACCAGCAGCAAAGCCCGCCCTGCCCACAACCCTCCCAACAAGGGGCCTCCCACCTCACAGCACCGCGGGCCGGATTAACCCCGCCGCCTGCTCCCCTCACGGCTCCGGGGATGGGATGGGATGGGATGGGATGGGATGGGATGGGATGGGATGGGATGGGATGGGATGGGATGGGATGGGATGGGATGGGATGGGATGGGATGGAAGGGGGGCACAGGGTCCGACTCCCCTCCTGAGCCACCTCAGGGGACGGCGCCCTCTCAACGGACACCGCCAAGCGTCACCCGGTTGCCCGGGAAACCCAGCGAGGCGCACGGCGCATGCGCGGGGAAGGGTGGGGCGGGAGCGCGCACGGGCGCGGGATGGCGGGGGTGTGTGGCGTTGGGACTGGATGGGATTTAAGGTCCCTTCAACCCCAAAGCAGGCTGGGGTTCTGTGATTGTAACAATAAGGATAATATTAATTAGTGTGTTAATCAATTAAATGGACAGCGACACCTTCCACTGGAGCAGCTTGCTCCAAGCCCCTGTGTCCAACCCGGCCTTGAACACTGCCAGGGATGGGGCAGCCACAGCTTCTCTGGGCACCCTGTGCCAGCGCCTCAGCACCCTCACAGGGAAGAGCTTCTGCCTAAGAGCTCATCTCAGTCTCCCCTCTGGCAGGTTAAAGCCATTCCCCTTGGCCTGTCCCTACACCCCTTGGCTTCTCTCCCAGCATCAGCTCGGGGTGCACGCAGAGCAATGGCAGCCCTGCGGATGCTCAGCCCTGGAGCACACCCATCAAACCTCGCTCCTCCGATGGCCGTTCTCAGTAAAAGCCTTCCAAACGTCACTCACATCTTGTCAAACAAGCAGTAACTGGTGGGAAATGAGAGCTCAAGATGAATTTCATGCTGTATCTATTCAGCCCCCAAATACACGGGCGATCAGCGGCAATAGGACATTATTTGAGGTACATGATTTCCAGCAGATTGGGGTTTTAGCCTGTCAAGTGTTTCAGTTCTTACTAAAGGGATGTGGTCCCTGCAAACAGCTCCTCCCCATCTTTCAGCCTTGAAGAAACCCACCCTGGCCGTTATTTCCCTGCATTTTAATCTGTCCAACACGTCTTCGCTATCGCAGCCTGTGATGGAGAGGGACCAGGCACGGGAGGGCAGAAGCAGTGAGCCCCAGGAGCAGAGCTGTGCGGCTGCAGGGTGATGTTTGCGGGTGGGAAGGTTCCCCACACACACCTCATTTCCCTCCCTGGTTCTGTTCTCTGTGGGCTGAATTGCGCCACAGACCCCGGTGTCTTGAGCTGCTTTGTTTCTCAGCACGCACGTGGTGGCTGCGGCCGGAGGTGCTCACCCACTGATCTGCTCAATTGTGGAGCTGGAAATGCAGTTTCTGCTGCTCCTCTCACTGGCTGCGGGTTAATGATAGATGTTGGCAGCTGAAAGGAGATGTTCCAATTCCCAGGGTTTGAGACAGTGTGAGAAATGTCACAGTTCAGTAACGACACCCCTCTGGGCACCTGCTTTTGTTGTACCTGGGCGTACAGGCGTGTTTTCAACTAGAACAGCTGAGAAAGAGCTAGTTTCAGTGATTTGCCTAACACAAATGCTGACATCCCATCTAGCACTGGGATTCCAGCTCTGGGGACTTCAGGGGAATACCTGCTAGAGAATCACCACATGAAAAATAGAAAAGTGGCATTCTGAAGCAGCCTTCACGGCTAAAAATGTTCTTCCACATCCACACAGGGATGCTTTCGCATGAGGGAATGGTACTTGATTGGTCTTGCTGATAGCTTTGTGTTTGAAGAAGCAGGTTGAGACGTGCCAGAGGCTTTGGGTCCAAGAGCGTGAGGACCCCAGCTGAGACACGTCACCCCCCCTCCCTCCTTCTGCTTATTTAACTGGAGTCATTCCAGATGCACCCACACCCCACAGGCTTTCATGCTGTAATGCTTTGGAGTTGTGCCCAAAACACACTCTGCTTCCCCAGCAGATCCATTTTTCAATGGCCCTAAAAGAACTGAAGTGCCATTTGGCTTCATCAGGGTGCTCCGGGGCCAGGAGGGGATGTGTGCAGGGCGATGTCCTGCTGGTGCTGGTGACATCCCATCTCTCCCGGGTCTCTCCCGCTGGCACAGGCACCTGCACCCACGGGCAGCGTGCGTGCCTTGGAGCAAAGCTCTTGCAGAGATCTTCACGCTTTTCTCCAGGCTGTTTGCAATTCATTTCCCCCAAAATTGCCCATCCTGCAAACTCTTCCTTGGCAATAAGTTCCCTAAGCTGGGAGAGGAGCAAGCTGCCTGTGCCTGGCTCCTTAGTGCTGTATCTATATAAATAAGCCCCCTCCAAGACAGAGGAGGATGTGTTATTTAGAGATAAACAACAAAGATGGGTTTATGGGGCTTTTGCAGACACTTTTACCCCCTGCAGCCCATGGAGGCTCCTGGGTAAAGCTCTTGCAGGGCGTTTCTCCCACCTCTTCCCTTGCTCAGCTCCATTTCTCCTCCGCCCTGTTCAGTCTCTGGTCCCGTTTTTAAGCAGTACTGCAGAAACAACAGGTATGCATTTGTCTTTTTTCCTGCCTGGTCATTTCTCCACCCAGCTTACAATTTTTGGTGGCAATTTACCAGCTTTTACAAATTACATTCCTATCTTTTTCTCAGGTATTGTTAGAGAGGAGAAAGTCCCATTTTTCACTGTGATCCTTCAGGTTTTGGCTGTCACTGTATTGAAGACTTCTTTTTTTTATTTGTCCTTAGCTTTAATTTTCTTATCCCTCAAGGGCAGCCTTGGAAATTCAAAGCTGTTCCCTGACTAGCAGCAGACCTGGTATTCTCTCTTGACAGTTCTGCAGCAACTGTCTCTCTCCCTTCCATCCTTCCACCTAAATGACACCCTTTTCTCAATAAATTACCCTTTGTCTTTCAAAGCAACGCTTCCATTTGTGACAGTTTGGATGTATAATAGTTGCATCCCAGCGGATACCTTCAGGAGCATCAACTAACAGGCCAATACAGACTCAGTGGTGCAGAAAATAAAGAGATTTATGTATTTTGAGCTTTATTTCCCCCTTAACAGTTGCGCTGTGCTCTGAATATTCAAAGTTTGAGTTTGAAAGTATGGTTTCCCTCACCACAAATGACTCTCCTGGAATGGAAGGATGGCTGAACCCATGGCAGGGTTCCCTTCTTTCAACATAGCATTCCTGCGGTCCCTAGGAAATGTACCTGGGCAGCCAAGCCCCACCTAGGGTAAGGTGTTGTGGTCCTCACATGCTGACCACAATGCATAAAGCACCAAATCCTGCTGAAAGCATGAGTCTGGCCCCACCAGCAGCACATGCCCAATCCCTCAGCCCCATTTAGCAACACTCACACATCACCAGCATGGAGCAGCAGGGGAGCGAGCACCAACCAGTAGGTGCAAGGGGAAGGCAAATGGAAATAGCACCTGTGGTAGTGCCCATGGGCATCTTGCATGATCCCTGAACACATGCAAGTGGCCTGGGAGGGTCTCTGCACCGTGTACAGCACGTGCCCAAGCATGCTGGGTTGCTTTGAATGTCTGCAAAACCTTGCCTGGAGAGCGGGCGGCTGTGCTGCCAAGCATGAGGAAATCCGTTGCATCGTACTTTCCACTCTTTATGGCAGAAACGTGCCTGAAAAACAGCAAAAGGCCTGATTGCTTGTGCTGCAGAGGAAGCATTGATTCTGCAGACATTTCCTAGCAATAACGGTGGTGATTGATTAACGCTGCTGTTCTCATCATCTAGCTAATGGACAGTGAATGTGCAGAGTGGCTGGAGCAGTGGCTTTGGGGTGTTTCCAGGCCCATGGGTACATGCACACACCCAGCACTGCTGGAGGGGGGATGCAGGAGATAAAGCTTGGGAAGATCGGATGCTCACACGGAGATGTCCAAGCCCAGGGCTGGCAGCAACAGCATCCTCCCCAGCTCGTCCAAGCTACACAAAAGCAGCAGATTGGACATTTTGTAGATGTTGTCAAGATCCAGACCTTGGCTTTAGCAGCCTGGGACTTTCTGCTCACAGCCCTGCACCTTCTGTCTGCTTTCCAAACACCAGACAAGCCAAACATTATTTTACAATCCCAGCATCTGGCACGCATCTCTGGGCAAAGCTCTCAGCCTGTCACTGGTGAGATAAATGAGCCCGTTTCAGTGGCCGACTTCATAAAAGTATATGAAAAGTAGTTAACAAAAGGGTATTTCACAAAGCAGGAATGCAAATGCAACCTCTGAGATAACTAATTAACTGAAGCAGCCATACAAAAGAGAAGCAGCTTCCCATCTGTGGAAATAGATGTCATTTTATAGAGGCTCTAATTAGTTATGCCCAGTCCTGCTGCTGTGCCGGTGGCAGTGCGCACAGGCTACCTCCTGCTCTGCAGCTCCTGGGGCTTTTGAGGTAAAGAGGGGGAGAGCAAAGGCAGGGGAAGAGCTGCTTTATCTTGCAAAAGTCCCTGTGAGAGCTGGTACCCAAGCAGCAAACAAAGCCAGGGTCATTTTGTGCACCATGCAGAGCATAGCACAGAGCAATGGCAGTGCTAGACCCCGCCTGCATGGCAAGGTTGGTCCCATCATCAGGTCCTGGCCGCGGGGAGGTCTGTACTTACCATCTCCTCCGAGCCCAGAGGGACTTGTGGGGAAGGTTTGCTGGTAAGTGGGGCTGGTTACTGCTTACACTGCTGCTGCAGCCTGTGGCTTTCGCACGGTTTGGGTGTTCAGCACTCACAGTGTGCTTGGGAGGGTTAATTGCTCAGCAGAGCAAGGGGTTTGCCAGCTTTTATTTGGTGGCAGGCAGCCTGTTTACAGATACAGATTTACAGTCACCTTGTTTGAGCTCTTCAAGCTGTTACCCCCTTGAGAGGAAACGTCCCTAATG